ACAGAGCTGGAGAGAACGGTGCACAGAGCCCCACTTCCTGACGGTCACGGGCCGTGACTGGGATTGTCATGTTGCACAAGGCCTGAACGTGACCGGCAGCCCTCACGGTGCTGCAGGTGGAGACGGGGTCCGGGCTCTCGGTGGTCGCGAACCAAGAATTGAGCCGACCACACAGACACAGAGAAGCGAAGCAAGCGAGAGACAGTTCCTGGCGTCCTAACTGGTAAGTCCTCTGAGGAACAGGAGGCAGCCGAAAGCCAGGACAGCCCCGGAGCCGACACTGACTGTCAGCACACCCAGGGGAGCGAGGGGGACCCGACAACCAGGACCCAGTGAATGAGGGAGACCAATCCCGCAGCGGCCCGTGCCTCCCTGCAGCGGAAGGGGTCGGGCGCAAGGAGAAACAGTGCGATGCAGTGAGAGAGGAGAGAGCGCATCCTTCCAGTGCGTCAGGGATCTCCTCAAATGTTCCACACCAATTCTTTCTTTGCTCCTAGTAGCTAATCCCTTCCCTACTCCCAGCCCTCGGCCCAATCATCAGGAGTTGAGAGAAAAAGAGAAAAAGGGACAGGGGCTCTAATGATCACACAGAAAGTGTCAGGGATCACATCTTACCAATGAATCATTATGTCATAATGAAAATTACACTGAACTATTTAATTCCAAAGTAAACACATACAGGGCCCGGCAGAGGTAGGGCCTGCTTGCGTGCGGTTGGTAGGGTAATAGCATGGGTGTCATAATTTATGGTTTTAATTTGAGCATTTCACCTAAAATGTCACACGGTGTGCTTGAGTGTGCTGTCGTTATGTTACAGAGTGACATGCTTACAATTTTGTAATAACAAGGGGTATTATTTGTGCTGAGCCCTGTATCTTAAATATTCCAAAGTAAACACAGATCTTACAAATTCCAAGGTCAAAATCACCCCAAGTCACAACATCCTCATTTCTTCCAGGAACCAGAGGGACAGTAGGATCAGCTTTGGTTCTCTCGGCTTCGCCACCCCAAGGGGCAGAGGGGCAGGCCACCTCTGGCCAGGGAAGGGCCTTCTTCTCTCGAACGGTGACAGGCTTTACAGGGATCTTACTTAAGCCTCTACGCTCGGGGAGGAAACCATGGTGCTAATTCTTATCAGTTGTCACAGCACGATTCTCGGAAGTCAGGATGCAGACAGGCGACAGCTGCAGCGTCTCCGGGTTTCCTCTGCTAGCTCCTGCCTCGGTGGGGGATGTTTCAGAAACAACTGCACACAAGGGTCCAGCAGTGTCATTGAATCCAGCTCGGTTCCCCGTCGTGTCACTCTGCGGCATCCCTGTTTCTAGCTCCAGGACAGTCGCCCCCTCCCGGGGTCTCTGAGGGTCTCTTTCAACACAGGATCTTACACATTGAACTAACACATTTTGCACAGCAAAGCGGACCGTCAACAAAATGGAAAGACAGCCCACAGAATGGGAGAACAGATTCACCGATACATCTGACAAGAGGTTAATATCCAAAATTGATGAAGAGCTTATAAAACTCAACACCAAAAACACATACAATCCAATTAAAAATGGGCAAAAGACCTGAAGAGACACTTCTCCAAAGAGGACACACAGAGGGCCAATAGACGTATGAAACGATGCTCAATGTCACCAATCATCAGAGAGATGCCAATGAAAACTACCGTGAGATAGCACCTCACACCCATCGGAACGGCCGTCATCAGTCAGTCAACAAACAACAAGCGCTGGCGAGGACGTGGAGAAAAGGGAACCCCAGTGCACTGTTGGTGGGAACGCAGACGGGTGGAAAGCAGTATGGAGATACCTGAAAAAATTGAAAATGGAACTGCCTCATGACCCAGCAATTCCAATTCTGGGCATTGACCCAAAGACATGGGAAACACTAATTTGAAAGAACACAAGCACCCCTGTGTTCATTGCAGCATTATTTACAGTCACCAAGATGTGGAAGCAGCCCAAGTGTCCATCAGTAGACGAGTGGGTAAAACAACTGTGGGACATTTACACAATGGAATACTTCTCAGCCGTAAACTTTACCCTTTGCAACAGCATGGATGGACCCAGAGAACATTATGTTAAATGAAATGAGCCAGTCAGAGAAAGACAAATACCATGTGATGTCACTCATGTGTGGAATCCAATGAACAAACGGAGCGAACAAGCAAAACAGAGACAGACCCCTAGACGGACAGCAGGCTGACAGTTCTGGGTGCGGGTGGGGGTGAGGGTTTGGAAGGACCGAGAAAGAAGGAAAAAGGACTCATGGACGTGGGCAACAGTGTGGGGATTGTGGGGGGAGGGGTACAGGGTGATAAATGGCAATGGAAAAATACAATAAGCCCTGGCTGGCATAGCTCAGTGGATTGAGCGCGGGCTGCGAACCAGGCATCGCAGGTTCGATTCCCAGTCAGGGCACATGCCTGGGTTGCAGACCACGGCCCCCAGCAACTGCACATTGATGTTTCTGTCTCTCTTGCTCTCTCTTTCTCCCTCCCTTCCCTCTCTAAAAATAAATAAATAAAATTCTAAAAAAAGAAAAATACAATAAATAATAAAATAAGATCTTATGAGTAAAGAAATCTCTTTATGGTGGCGAGTGCCAAACTTCTGCTGACTAAGGAGAGCTAGACAGGCCGTCTTCAAGGTCGTGGCACTGTTCGTGTTCTGAGAGGCTCTGGGCTTCGTCCTGAGCACTTGCAGCGAGTGTGGCGGCGCTGGCCTGGCAGGACGCAGCTGCTTGGAGAGGGGCAGGTGAGCGTTCAGGTGCTCGACCTGGGGCCAGGTCGGGGCCCCTCGGGGCCCCTTCCGTTTCAGTGCTGGGAGCCCTTCGCTGCCTTTCGTTCTGCCGGACTGCGTGGAAGAGCAGCCTGCTCCCGCCGCTGCCCCAGCAACAGCTCCAAGTGGACGAGGACGTGAACCCTGTCTGTGGCAACCTCTCCTGCCACAGGCTGATGGAAGGGTCTCCGAGTACTTGAGACGGTAGTGCAGGAAGGATCAAGAGAAGGAGTTATCGTGCCACATACATCCCTAATCAATACTATCATGCTCTATCTGCAAGATGGATAATTATAACATTGAATATATAGTTATATATATTAAATTTACATCTAATATATACACTATTATATAAATTTTACATTATATTAATTTATAAAATATATATTTATACACTCTATAACATATAAAATATAATGTATTATATACTATAAAATATAAAATATATAATATATTGTATATAATTTAAATTATCACATAAATTACCATATAAATATTTATATAAATTATCATGTAAATTTTACATTGTATTATATTTCATACAATATATTTTATAGTTTATAATATATTATAGATTATAATATATATAACTCATCAATATTTAAATCATCATACAAATTATTATATAATTTATATAAAATGTATAATTGTATATTAAATAGAATGTATAATTTTAATATATATAGTTATGCATATTTTATTGAAACTAAATTACTCTACCTGAAACAGTTATATGTGGGGTGTTGCGCCAATCGTGCTCTCCTAATTCATAAGTAAATGTAGTGAAATGAAACCGGATATCTGCATTGTTTTCTTCTCACCGTGTACACCCATCAGTCTGCTTTGGAAATTTCTGTTCATTGTTAGGCACTACTACGGATACTTATGGGATTCTTCCTTTGTTTTCTTCCTACCTTCCTCTCTCCCTCTTCCTTCTTTCAATCAGTACGTCATTTTTCTTGGTTCCTTTGAAGTGAGGAAGTAAACCTTACTGATGTCTGAAACTAAAGATTGTAGTCTTCTTTGCTTTTTTTAATTTGAGCATTTTGTTTTCACGAGGACAAATGCTCCAGCCCTGCGGCTATGCTGTCTGTAACGTGCTCTAGACTAGCCACCAGAGAATGGACGCGCTGAAACTCAGGATAACGTCTTCCGCGCTAAATGCGGTTCAGCTGCTCCTCCCTGGCGGAAAGGCTCACGCTGTAACAGGGAGACTCCGTTGCGTTGTCCTGGGCTCTGGGAGGTCTTTTTCGCCCCCTTTCTGAGTCTGAGCTTTGTTCTGCTCTGACTAGTGACTTCCAGACACGTGAGATGTTAGACCCCCAGTGACAGAATTGCTGTGCGGAAGGAACCCCAAGGTCTTCTGATCCAAGGTCCTCATCCAAGGGGGGCCCCGTCAGGTGGAAGTGACTTCCGAGGCCACTGACTGCACAACCCGCCGGATCAAACTCCCGCGCCTCCCGCCGGTAGCGCTAAGCTCGCCCCGGGCGGACCCTCCTCCTCCGCCTCATCTCCTTCTGGTCCCATCCGATGAATTTCAACCAAATTAAAATGGAAAACCCAAACGTGAGCAAGATTTTCGGGTGTAAAATCATGAGCTAAATCATTTTGTTCTAAGTGTGCTGAAGAAAGAAAGAAAGAAATGTTAAACCTCAGACTCCAAGTTTTTAAGGGACATGCTCCAAAATATGAGTAGCAACATTATTTTCTACAAAGCGTGGCCTTGGCATAGTCGGGCTTACAGAGTGGAATCGAGGGTCTTCGCAACACGCAACTGAGTCGTCACAGTGGTTGACGACACAGGGGTGGGACTCCAGCATGGGCCAGCATGAAACTCTACAGAGGAGTAAGCTTTCTTCACTCTGCAGATTACTCTGCAGGGCAGAACCCTTATTTGGTTTGTGTTTACTTCTCTAAGCTCACCAGCTAAGCCTGTGTCAGGAGAAAGGTCCTCAGAAGAAATGTGTGGTGTGGCAGATGAATGAATGAATGAATGAATGAATGAATGAATGAATGACAGATGGTGGTGGATGGGAGGAAGATGGGTGGATGAACTGGATGAGGAGCAGATGAGCGGCTAGATCTTGATTCTGTGAGTAGGCTAGAAATGGTCTTTGTGGATGACAATGTCACGACTAGATCATACAGAGATAATTTAATTTTGACACGTGGTGCACACTTTTTCATGGACCCGTAGTTCCGGATAGAAGGATAAAAGCAAACAAGTGGAAAGTCTCACCATGGCCAGCTTCTCCTGGCCACTCGGAGCTCCCCCGTCTCCTGGCAGGTGACAGGCGTGTCCTGGGCGTGTAGGAACAAGACACGCTCCAGCGCCAACCCATCTCTTAGCTTCACTTACCATTTCCATTCTGACGGATAATTTTTCCAGGGTTTCCTGTAAAAACAAAAAAGGAAAAGAAGAAGAACATTTAAAAGCTGGCTTTTTCGCATGCCAAGGGATTAACATTTTAAAGATTTTACTTATTTATTCTCAGAGAGAGGGGAAGAAAGGGGGAAAGAGCCGGAGAGAAACATCAATGTGTGGTTGCTTCTCGTGTGCCCCCTCCTGGGGACCTGGCCCACAACCCAGGCATGTGCCCTGACTGGGAATCAAATCGGTGACCGTTTGGTTCACAGGCGGGGGCTCAGTCCACTGAGCCACACCAGCCGGGCCGGGATTAGCACTCAGGTAAATGTCCTGTGTGCAGAGGAGTGAGCGCAAGTCCAGTATCTTGGCAGTGAAAAACAATGGGACCAACCACTGCCTGGAGGTAAGTCAATACGATCACTTGGCAACTGCACTTGAGTTTCCTAATTACAAAACACGACATGTGATCTCCTTCGGCTCTCAGAGGAAGCCAGCACCGGAGGTTTATCGCCGAGAAGTGGCCTGGGCCATTTAGCACCACCTGGAAGTAGCAGAATGCAGATTTGAGCCTAGACTTCCAGATGCAAAGCTCACGGTCTTTCTGGTTTAGTAATCGCATTACTCATTAGTAACCTTCGGGAGCTGTGTTAAGGGCTGTTAGCCCCCCAGCACAACACATCCCCCCTCATGCGCCCCTCCAAGCCCCTGAGGGAGTGAACGTATTGGGTTAAGGCCCTTTCTATGGGGAACCCTGCCATTACAGGGCTGGAGGTAGCCTGCCCTTCCTCTAACACAACAATTAACATCACATGGTGGTTCATTTTTTGTCATGCAGGTTGGGGGGGCTGTCCTATGCACTGGAGAAGGTTTAGTGGTGTCCTTAAATGCCAGGAGCACCCTCTGATTATGACAAACAAAAGCCATGTTCAGGCGCCGCAAACGTCCCACTGGGAGTGCTCTTGCCCCGTTTGAAACCCACCTGCTCCCACCTGCGACCACAGGTCTGCTCTGTCTGGCCATCACCCAGCACCGGAGATTTCGGGGCCCTGAGGCCTGGAGGTAGGAGATTAAAACCTGGAGTTTAAAAGAATGAGAAGGGAAATAAAAAGAATGAGAAGGAACTCAAGCTTCTAAAACGTGCAGGGAGCACACAGGGAACGTTGGTCTGTTCTAGAAAAACGCCACAGTGCTCAGAGGGAGCTTGACAGGTGGCGGGTTTAACGTGAACTTTCGGCCTGAAGTTTCAGGGTGGTTCCCGTCCCCTGACTGACTCCTGCCTCGGGGCCAGAAGGGCGGCGACAGGAGTGGAAGGGGCTGCAACCCCCGGAGCACGGCAGCCGACTCGGGGTGGGGGTCACGCACCCTCCCAGCCCTGTCCCCGGGGGCGGGGCCTGCGAGGTCGGAGGCCCAGGACACGCGGGCCCTTTGGGACTCGGGCTGCCTTTCCAGAAGGGCCTCCAGCGAGGGGTTAGTCTAGAGTTTTGGAGGCTCCTCCTCTTCCTCCCTTACTTCCCCCTCTTCTTCCTCTACTTTTAAAACATCCCTCCCATCATCCAACAAGCGCTGGTTCAGAGTGGTGGGGGTAGGATGGAGACCACTGTACTTGAACGACAATAAAAAAAATTAAAAAAATAACAAGTCCTCGTTCAAAATCTGGTTGGGTTTGAGAACAGCCCACGGTCACGTGGGGAGAAAACAGACAACACACTCACGAGCTGAGTGGCTTCGTGGTAGAGTGACCGTGTAATTCATCGCCCAGACTAGGACGCTTCCGGGAGTGACAGTGACGCTCCAGTGACTATGCTGCTGAGACGACAGGCGTCACCCAGAGCTGTCACCGGCTAGGTGAGACAGAGTGTCCCCCTACTCCTGCACGGCGATCCCATTGAGATGTGGCCGCCCCCCCCTCTGGGACAACACTGACAATGAGGTCAGACCGTCAACAAGGACAAGTGCTGTGCTCAGTGTGACCTGTGTGTTCTGGTTGGAAGGAAGCCCACAGTGACAGTGGTCTTCGTGTCACAGTCCCAAGCTGTGGATGCACAAGGACCAGGCTCAGCACAAGGTAAAATGGGACTCAGATCCGGCACCGTGACCTGGAACCCACGCGTTGCCCCATGGCGTTCCTCACCTGCCCTGCACGACGCTCTACCTGGGTCTCAGCCCCCGCCTCCCTGTTTGGGCCAGCCCTGCAGCCGTAGCCTCCTGTGAACTGAAGATGCACCTGTTCCAGGAACCGAGCGCATCCGGGCAGAGGCCGGCCGGCATGGGGCCGGCTCCGGCGAGCAGGATGCCGGGCTGGAAGGGGGGGCAGGGCTGCACGGACTCTGGGTCGGCCCTGAAACTCCATGTGAATGTTACAGATTCGTCACCCCCCCAACCCCTGCCCCCACGGGTGCTGCTGGGAGGGGACCCCACACAGAGGGAGGGCATCGCTGCGGGAATGAGTCCACTCATGCTGGAAAACCCGCCCAAACAGCAGACCTTTACATTGTTTATTTGTAAGTCCCTGAGGTTTTCTTCGTAATCCCCGAGTTAGCCTGCTCCGTGACTCCTTGCGACGCACGGCAGGGGAACTCCCTCATCGTCCGCACGCTTGCCTCCTGCCTTGCACCTTGAGTCTGTCACCGCTGTGTAACCCCCCTTGGCATTTAAATAGCTAATCTGCTGCTGGCGGCCCGGTCACAGTGTGCAAATCTCCAAGTGGCTCCTCGGTGACCTTCACAGTTCCATGTATTTGGTACTGCCACCACCCGAACCGACCTGGCCTCTGCTAATGATTAAAGGCGGTCACTGAAGTAGTCGCCCAAGTCTGCAGATAAGAATTTCCGTGAGCGCCTCCGGGCCCTGTGACATTCGCTTGTCCCCCAGCGTATAAACCCAGCTGAGAAACACGTCCTCGAACACTGGCTCGGGCTGAGCCGCAGGCGGGTGAAAGCATGCGTGTACTCACTCACTCTCTCACTCAGCACACTTCTGCTGGCCGCCTCCCCTGCGCCCCGCACTGCTCCAGGCGGCGGCAAACAACACGGACGCTTTGTCACAGAGAGAGAACTGCTGCTTGCGGGGAACGTGAGGCCGGAGAGGGTGCCGCAGGGCAGGGCTGTGTTTCACCACTCGGTGTTCATCCGCGTTCACTGCCGCGTCATTCACAGCACGGAAGACGCCGAGACGGCCTCCGTGCCCTGGGAAGGGCGAATGGAGAAGGGAAATGTCAAATTCACAGTCCATCATGTAGATGATCTTTTATCGTCTCTTTGTAGCAACTGTTATTTTTTTCTTCCCTAGTGTGGGCTTTGAGCCCACAATCATTGTAAAACATTCCATTTTGTTGGATTACAGGGAATCCAAAAAAAATGTGCAGAATTATATAAAAATTAAAACTTTCTCCTGGCTGGCGTAGCTCAGTGGATCGAGTGCGGGCTGTGAACCAAAGTGCCGCAGGTTCGATTCCCAGCCAGGGTACATGCCTGGGTTGCAGGCCATAACCCCCAGCAACTGCACATTGATGTTTCTTTCTCTCTCTATCTCCCTCCCTTCCCTCTCTAAAAATAAATAAATAAAATCTTAAAAACAAAACAAAACAACTTTCTTCCTCAGACTGTCTTTGAAAAGCGAAAGACTCCCCTTTCCCGCTCCAGGGGGAGCGCTGCGGCTCCGAGGGCCGCGTCAGCCCGGGTCCGAGGGTCCCCGCGGGGTAAAAGGGTGAACCCACCTGGGCAGGCGCCCTGCGGCCTCTCCCGGTTCCTCCAGGGTTCACCCCCTCCCTCTTGGGCACCCAGGCAGGACGCGGGGTTCTGCAGCTGGGGACCAGTGGAGAAGCTTAGCTCCTGGCTCCGGGCAAAGTGGGGGTTGGGTATCTGGGTGCGGGGTGTGTTTGCGGAGAGTGGTTTAAATGCCTCTGGAAACACCAGAGCGGCCAGGAGAACCAGGATTTTTTTTTTTTTTCCCCATTGAAATCCACAAGGCCCATGAGAAAGGCTGCCATTGGTCAGGCGCCCAGGTCACTCAAGCGGGGCGGGGGGCGGGGGGAGAGGTGGGGAAGCAAACCCCGCCCAGGCCCGGGAGGATGGAGTTAGCACCAAGGACTTCTGGTCAGCCCCGGGACGGCGGGCCAGGCACTGGACGGTGCAGCAGCAAAGCTGCCCGCGCACCCAGGGAGCCGCAGCGGGAATTGGGGTCCGGGTGGGAAGCAGACGCGGAACCGGGGAGAAGCGGTAGCGTAGGGGGAGAGTCCGGAGAGCTGAAACCGAGGGGAGGGGGCGCAGTGTCTGGGACTGAGCGGATTTCGCCCCGCGCGTCCAGCGCGCCGTCCCGGAGCCACCAATCCCGGAGCGTCCTCTCCGAGGGGGAGCAGTGGCTCTCGGCCCTGCGGCCCTCGCCACCTGCTCTCGGCAGCCTCAAGGAAGGGTCTTCGGCCAAGGACAGGAACCTGCGGCCATGGCCGAGGCCACAGAGCCAGACCGGGGCGCCGCGGGTCCCCAGGAGCCGCTGGAGGGCCCAGCGGTTCTGGCCGAGACACCAGGCGAGCCAGGGGCCGCGGACCCGGAGGCGAAGGGGGAGGACGCGATCGAGGATCCCACGGGGACGCGGGGGGACGAAAGGGCGGGCGCAGCCGCGACGGCCGCGCTGAAGGAGGGAGAAGACGCGGGGCCAGACGGGGGGCGCGGGGGCGAGCTGGAGCCCAGCGCCTGCAGTGAGCCTGGGGGCGAGACGCCGGGCGCGAGCGGAGCGCAGGGTGAGGCGGAGGCCCCGGAGGGCGACAGCGCCCCCCAGGGAGGGGAGGAGGCGAGCCCCAGGCGCGACTCGCGGAGCGGGGCCCTGGGAGAGGCTCAGGGGGAGCCCGGGGAGCCCGCGGTCCCCAAGGCAGAGGAGGAGGCGGGGCGCGGGCCGGAGGAACCGGGAAGCAGCGCGCCCGCGCCCGGGGCCAGCGAGGACCCCGAGGGGCCGCCGGGGGCCTGCATGGAGGCGGAGGGGCTGGCGGGAGGGGCGCCCGGGGCCGAAGGGGAGCCCGGGGACCTAGGGGGCAGCAGCCCTCAGCCTCACGCAGAGCCGATGGAGGCTGCGGTGGCGGAGAGCGGGGGCTGCAGCCGCGGGGAGCTCGCAGGGCGGCTTCAGGGTGCAGAGGTGGGAGCTGTGGAGGAGCCTGGGGCCTCGGGGATGGAGAAACCCGAGGAAGCGGCCCCCGGGGACTCGAGGGCAGACGCCGGCGGGGACGGGGACCCAGAGGGCCCCCAGGAGGAGGAGGAGGAGGAGGGCCCAGAGAAGGAGAAGCGGGAGCGCAGCCCAGAGGGGCCAGGCCAGGAGGGTCCCCCTGACGGCAGCGCGGCCGGAGAGGCGGTGGCGCAGACCCGGGAGACCGGGGCTGCGGAGCTGAGCAACCACCTGGCGGAGGAGGACAGCGCCGAGGGCTCGGACGGGGCCGCGGGCGAGAACGGCCGCGGGGAGGACAGCGAGGCCTCGGAGGAGGGGGTCCACGGCCAGGACCACGACATCACGCTCTTCGTGAAGGTAAATCTCGCTGTGTCCGATGGTGAGACGTCCCCTCCCGTCCTTAGCTAGCGCTGGTCTTTTCTGGTCGCAGAGGGACGGATCGAGAGGCCGGACCTAGGCGTCCTGACGGTCACCCGGCGCTGTCAGCCCCGGAGGGAGGCGGGGCAGCCTGGGTCTCGCGGACAGGAGCAGGAGAAGCGGTTGGGGGAGGAACTGCTTGTCTGGAAGCAGAGGCTGGGGCGGGGGTGGTGGGAAGTCAGGGTGCCGCTGGCCTCCCCACTGTCCTTTGTCCTGAAAACCCCACTGGCCCTTTTGGTCAAGAAGTGATGAAAGAATTCACGTAAAAAAGCCACACGCCCCTTGGATGCACAGAACACGCTCTGCCCGAGGAAGCTCCGACACTGGGCGCGGAACAGTGGTCTCGGGGGGGTGGTGATGGGAGACGCACCTGGACTCACACCCCCCAGAGGCCCCGAGCCTCCGGCCAGGGCTGTCAGCTCCGAGGAGGTGTGTCCCATTTGGGTGGAGCAGATACAGCATGTTTGGGGAGGAAAGTAGAATCTCATTTAAATTATACTATCTATGGGGCATTTTCACGTCTGGTTTGGAAGAAGGGTGCTGGTGACTTCCCCAGCACCTGTCCCTGGGGTCACCCTTTCAGCCGCACGTCAGATGGGGCGGGAGCGAGGGTTCTGTGGAACGGTCTGTGAGAGACTGACTGGGGGCGCCGCGAGTTCAAACAAGCGCTGTTCCAAGGCATCGCGGGCGGGGGAGGAGGTCCCCTGCAGCTCACACGGGGATCTTTGTTCCGACGGCCCTCCGTGCAAAGCCGTTGGGCCGGCCTGAGAAAGCGGCAGGTATGTAATAAGGTCAAGAATGTGCATTGCACGGTGAGTCATAATCCTTCCAAAAGACTGCAGGCTTAGAAAAGCCAGCTAAAGTGTAAGCAAATTCTAATAATAAAAAAAAAAACAGAAAGAAACGTTCCCAAAGTGATTAACTGTAGAATTTCAGCAAGTGCGTGCGTGGTGAGGGTGTTAGCTGCTGTGCCAAGCCCTTTCTGAGACCCCGGCACAGCGGAAGATTCAGCTTGGGGACAGGACCTGAGGACACAACCCCCAGGGCAGCCCCGAGGAGCCGGAGGCCCGCAGGGTGGTCCGGGGAGGGGGAGGCTGGATCAGGGCGCCGCGGTGGGCGCCCGCACCTGCCGCTCGGTGGAGGACATTGTGGTTGCTCTCGGTGCCTGGAGGCAGGGCTGCGCGATTCCAGCCTCTTGGTACCATTTGAAACGCAGGAACTGCTTCCTGCCCAGTGTTCCTGCTCCGCTTCTTGGTCCTCTCCAACCTAGTCCCTTGGTGGTATGGATAGTGGCCTGGGGAAAAAGGATTGGGTTGTTTTGTTTCTTAGTGTTCAGGTCTTCAGCTGTTTCTTGCAGAATTTCGGATAAACCCACACTCCTCAGCCAGGCCACAAGGCCCTTCCTGAGGTACTTCCTGCCTCCTGGGCATCGCCTGGGCGTCCCCGCCCTGGGTCCCCCGTGCACCCCTGTGCCAGCTGTATTGAACCACTGGCTGTCCTTTGAGAGGACACATTTTTCCAGCCTTGAGGTTCTGACTGCCCCACACCCTCTTATCTGTGTGTCCGAGACTGGGAGCGGGCATCGGCCCCTCTGGGAAGGTGTTTCCACCCCACTGTGGGTTGGGTGTCCTCCGCTGGAGCCCCCCTCCCACCCGACACCACCCCTGCGCGCTCTGTCTCCTCCCTGGACTGTGCGGGCGCATCTCCCGGCTCCGGAGTAGAGCCCGGTCCAGGCCACGGGGGAGGTGTGGGTGGGAGGGCGCCTGCGCGGGGCGGGGTGGACTGGGGTCCCCAACAGCACAGACCTCAGAGCGAGAGGGTGTCCCGGATCACATCCTGGCTCTGCGACTTGCTTGCTGTGTGACCTTGGGCACGTTACTTAACCTTTCTGTGCCTTTGTGGCTTATGGAGACAATGGGGGCTCCACTAGTACCAACCCAGTGAGGCTGGTGTGGGGACTCAAGAATTAAATACGGGAGTCAGGGTCGTGCGTGGCTTGAAAGAAGCGTGGTGTCAGCGGGATTCTTACTGTTACGTCTGCTAGCTCTCACTCTGCTTTTACCCACAAACAGTCCCCTTCCTCTTTCATCCCTGCCTTTTTTTTTTTTTAAGGGAAAATCCCCCTAGCCACCTCCTTAGCTCGATTCCCTGGGGAGAAGAATGTGAGGAAAGGCAAAAAGAAGTTGTTTTCTTGGGTCCTGCCTGGGAGCAGGCTGCGCTGGCAGAGGCAGGGGCCGGTTGCGGGCAGCTCACCAAACAGTGGGATCGACTTCCAAGCCGCCGCGGCCTGATCCGGCTTCTGAGGGTCACCTAAGATGTGCCTCCTAGAGCGGTGGAGGCCTCTTGCTTTCTCCTTATCCTACAGATCGTTCCCTTTAAAAACAAAGCAAAAGGCCCAGAGGAAAAAAACAACAAAACAAAACAAGCAAAAACCCATTAGACTGTTGGACCTTTTGAGTGCATAGCACTTCATCTGAAGTCCGTACATCAGTTCCGAATAGGACTTCTCTGCCAGCGTCAACCTCTTCTAGGTCCCTCCTTTGGGCTCCCCTTTATTGGCACTCCATTCCGCAGTGGCCCTCTGGCCTCCTGGGGGTCGTCGGCAGGTCCAGGCAGGCACGTCGTGGTGAGTCTGCTCCGCCACCGCTGGCGTGTGGCACTCACGGAACAGCGGTTCCCTGGGGAGAGCGGCGCAGCCTCCGGGCGACAGCCCGGTGAACACAGCTGGAGACCAATCAGCCCACACCCCAGTGTGAACTTTCCACGTGCACATTTCTTCCTCTTATTAAACATGAATGTCACGGTTCCACACACACCAGCAAGTCATGACGCAGGACCCGGCGCTATGTAATAACAACATCGGCTTCTAGCTTTCGCCACCTGTGGCTGGGGTTCCCCGTCTCAGTGAGGGCCACCATCTTACTGGTATCCGAGGAAGTGTACGAGGCTGTGTCCTTGGATGTGAAAGAACCAGGGGTGTGTGGGGCAGGCCGAGCAAGCACCCTCGAATTGTTGTCTGGCGAGCCACTTGCTGATCGTGCTCATTTTTAGTTTTGTCTTCTCAAAGAAGTGTTGACCTGTCGTCAGATTATAGGGTGACCTTGCAGTACATTCAACGAGAAAGATTCTTTTCTTCCGCACTCCTAACAACAAGGGTCAACAATGGAACAGCACGTCAATGTAACAGGACTCGGGACAGAACGCTCACCACACAGGATGAAGCGGGGCCTTTGGGAGCGCCGGGGATTTGGTCACTAAGGAAGTCTCACTTACAGGTGTGGCTCTCCTAATCCAGGGGTGGCCTGTCCTTGGGGGCGGGGTCCAGGGGTGGGATGGTCTGAGCTACAGGTTTCCTGGAGAATTTCTCATGACTTAACCCACACTGCCCCCCACCCCGCGCCCCGTGATCAGTGAATAATCCTGGGCCAGGGTCTAAGAACCTCCCCGATTCTGCTTTGGACAGCGTGCACTTAACTGTTATTAACACAGAGCTGCCAGCCGCTGACTCGGAAACTGGCTGTCACATGGGTTCGTCAGAGAGGTGAGGCTGAGCATGGGATGACGAAAAGTCAAGGAAGACATGGCCTTTGACTGTTTGTCACCTAGAAATGCCTTCCCCAATCGGTCATCAATCAAGCCATCCGAGCTTTGTCACACCACCCAACCGGTGGCAGGATGGGAGTGGCTCAGGGACCTGCTGGGACCGGCGTCTGCGTGACCCCTGGTAGACCAGTTGGCCGAGGTTCTCTGCGCTTGTTTCCCTGGGAGAGGGCATGCTGAGACCTGTCCTGTGGGCCTCGGTCTCTCAGGAGCTTGGGAGGGGTGTTACTTTCATAACAACTTGTGGACTTTGTATTCTGAAGGGAAATGAGTAAAAAGGCACTTCTGTGACTCTAATTCTCCCCTGAAAATGGTGTTTTTTGTCACTGGCTTTCTGAGTGTCTTGTACGACTTGCGTACAATGACGTGTGTGGAATTTGTAGAGGGCGGGTTAGGGCGGACGCTGAGGTGCACACATGAGGTGCATGAGCACTGGGCAAGAGCCCTGTGGCGTCCTCGCTGCCCGGCACGGCAGCAGGCGTGGTGGGCTGCCAGTCAGCTCTTTCTGGTGGTCGCTGGGTCACGGTGACTCAGCCAGGGAGGGGCTGGACACAAGACCCGCCCCCCTGGTGTCCTGGTCCAGTGTCCCCTTGTGAAAGGCGAGAGCCACGCTCCTCCATGAGGACACCCGGGCAGCAGCCTGCAGACGCTGGAGCCCACGGGGCTGCGGGGACTTGCAGCCCCTCCTGCCGTGTCCCCATGGGGGCCGAGGGGTCACGTGCTCTGGGCGGGAGGGGGTAGCTGCAGTGCAAGCCCCGCCTCCTCCTCCTCCTGCCGGCGGGTCCTCTTTCTCCCCTGGCTTCCCCGTGGCCCATCTTCCCCACGGGGCCCCTCAGACACCCCACCTGCTCGAGCATCAGAAGGAATCTTCAGGAACGCCACCCTGGGCCCGCTGAGCATGTCAGTTTACCCTCCTGTTTCAGACACGTCGGCGAACGAGACCTAGAACTTGAGGGAACGTGTAACGTCCACAGCTCTGATCCTCGCGTTTGGTTCAGGCGGATCCGAGTGCTAGAGGCTGATCCGTTTCCTCGGCGCACGCGGGATTATCACGTCCTGCAGGTCAGGCACCGTGTGTGGGGCTGGGGACACGGGCCCGAGCCAGACTGGCAGGGGCGCCGGCCCTCACGGAGCTCGCCATCCAGCACACAGGACAGAGACGGGGCCTCGCGTTGTTCGGAGGGGCCGAGAGCTGTGGTGGCAGGGACCACGCAGGCTGCTCACCGTTGCTGTCCTGCCCCCAGGCCCCAGGCCCCAGCACAGGGTGTGGCACAGAACCGGCGCCCCGTTAGTGCTGAGAGGAAGGGAAAGTGGGAGCCGGGGGAGTGGGCGGGGGGTGG